AAAAAAAAAAATGCCCTGCAGAGCTTCTCTCTACGAAACAGCTTCTGATGTGAGCAGAGTGGGTTAGAGGGGATGTTGTATTTAGTGTGGATTTGGGTCTCTTGTACTCCCACGGGCCTGGAGGAACGTTGGTCCCTCCCAGGGCTGGTCCCTCCCTGGGTGCAGAGTTCTGGGTGTTCTCCTGCCCTGGGGTCTGTGAACCTGCTCAGGGTCTGTAAATCTACTCGTGGTCGAGGCTGAGATGGGAGGAATGCCAGGAGGACTTGTTCTGGTGCCTGCAGAGGGGGCTCCTCAGTGTCTCCCACCCAGAGAGGCCAAGGGACTGGACTGTGGGATGGGGGATGCAGGCTGTTAAACCTGGGGAGGAGGACAGATGCTTTCAGGAACCCTTTGGGAGCTGTTTGGACTCATGAATAATTTCTACATGTCATTCTCTGGGCAGGGGAGCATGGGATGGTGTGTCCAGGCAGGTGAGGAGGGGTACTCCTGATGTAGGGGGGGAAGCTGAGGGAGAAGGGAGGTGAATTTTCCAATTTGAAACAGACCCAGTCTGGATTTGCAGCCTCCCAGGTTGTTTTTCATCCCCTTCTGATGGTCTGTAGCATGTTACTCAGCTTTGGAGGTTCCTTCTCTTGTTTTCAGCTTTGGTTCAGGCCATTGGAATTCAGTATTTGGACTCTTTGGGGGGCAGCAGGACAGAGGACTGTGTCTCATCTGCATGTTTTTATTACAGCCAGAAGAGGAACCTAAAGAAGAAGCAGCACCAGCCAAGCCTGTGGTGGGCATTATTTACCCTCCTCCAGAGGTCAGGAATATTGTAGACAAGACTGCCAGCTTCGTAGCCAGGTAAGGACCCGGGGGGTGTCTCAGCTGTCATGAGGCCAAGGAGCACTCCTGAGGGTGAGTGCTGTGAGAAATACTCACTGTGAAGCTTTAGAAACTAAGCCAGCAGTGACTGGTCTGTGTCCAGCTGGCTGCTACGTTTCATTTGAGTTCCTTAGAGGTAAATTTCCATCCATGTGGGAGAGAAATTTGTGTCTGAGGGGCTGATGCCTCAGCACATCTTGCTACCAAGGAAGCACCCGTTTCCACTTGAGGTGCTGCCCGTTCACCTCAACAATTTCCCTCTTCTCTCCTTAGGAATGGGCCAGAATTTGAAGCTCGAATTCGTCAGAATGAAATAAATAACCCCAAGTTCAATTTCCTGAACCCCAACGACCCCTACCATGCCTACTACCGGCACAAGGTCAGCGAGTTCAAGGAGGGCAAGGCTCAGGAGCCCTCGGCTGCCATCCCCAAGGTCATGCAGCAGCAGCAGAGTGCTCAGCAGCAGCTTCCACAGAAGGTGGGTGTTCCTCTCACTTTGGTTGAGAGCTTAGCTTTGAGCTGCTTCTCACAGCCCTCTGTTAAGCAGGAGGGCTGAAAGACAGGGTGGATGGAGGAGCTAGTTGCTCAGAGGCTTGAGTGGAGTGTCTGGGGCTTGGTTTTGGGGCAGATGTGTGTCCTGCAGTCACTGGTAACTCACATAGTACAACTTGGGTGAAAAAGAAATCTATTGTTCTGCTTGGTCTGTTTTAATGATGTTTAGTTGAGTATTGATTGATCTGGGACTTGTGCAGCCCAAGTGATCACTAGCCTGAGTTTAGGGTTCCTGCCATAAGCCAGGCTTTAGAATCCCTTGGTGTTCACTTGGGGCTTGTTTCATGCACTCTGGTGGGAATGTTTCCCTTCAATCTGCCAGAAGGATCAACTGCCCCTTAAAATGTGGAGCAGAAGACAAAATGTGGAGTGCAAAACATTGCTAGCCTTGTTTGGCTTCCCAGATGCTGGAGTGGAGAGAGGGCACAGCCTGAACCCGAGTCCCTTCCAGGCCCTGCGTGGGCAGCAGTCACACTGTGTGGTACTCACCACCCTGGAGGATGCAAAGCCCTGGCAGTGTCCTTTTCCATAGCTGCTGGAGCAACATTTATTGGGGAGCAGGCCTAAATATAGATGCCCAGGTGCATCCTGTGGCTCTGGCTCTCCTCCTCCCCGCAGCTGCCAGGATATCCAGGCGGCCGCCGCTTCCCCGCAGCAGCCGGAGGCCAAACAGCTTCTCCCAAAGCTCTGGGGAGGGTTTCTGCACTCAGTCACCCAGCCAGCTCCCTTCTGCCCTGCAGGTGCAGGCCCAGGTGATCCAGGAGACCGTGGTGCCCAAGGAGCCTCCCCCGGAGTTCGAGTTCATCGCGGACCCCCCGTCCATCTCCGCCTTCGACCTGGACGTGGTGAAGCTCACCGCCCAGTTCGTGGCTCGCAACGGGCGCCAGTTCCTCACCCAGCTCATGCAGAAGGAGCAGAGGAACTACCAGTTCGACTTCCTTCGCCCCCAGCACAGCCTCTTCAACTACTTCACCAAGCTGGTGGAGCAGTACACAAAGGTGCCGCCGGCGGGTCTCCCACGAGTCGGTTCCTTCAGCAGCAGCAGTGATTTTTAGGTGCTGCTGGAGCCCTACAAAGCAGCCAGACTAGAAATAGAGCAGGTCCAGGAGTTATAGAGTCACAGAATAGAATCACAGAGTCATTGAGGCTGGAAAAGATCTGTAAGATCATCAGTCCCAACCACCAACCCAGCATTCCCATGATCATTCAATTGTGTCCCCAAGTGCCACATCCACACCTTTTTTGAACCCCTCTAGGGCTGGGGACTCCAGCACCTCCCTGGTCAGCCTGGGCCAAGGCCTCACCACTCTGCCAGGAGAGAAATTCTGCCCAAGATCCAACTGAAACCTCCCCTGGTGCAGCTTCAGCCCATTGCCTCTCGTCCTATCTCTGGTTCCTTGGGAGAAGAGCCCAACCCCCACCTCACTCCAGCCTCCTCTCAGGGAGCTGCAGAGAGCCAGAAGTTCTCCCCTCAGCCTCCTCTTCTCCAGACTGAACACCCCCAGGTCCCTCAGCTGCTCCTCACAATCATGTTCCCCAGACCCCTCCCCAGCTTCGTTGCCTTTGTCTGGAGTCATAGCGTCATTAAGGTTGGAAGAGATCTGTAAGATCATGAAGTCCAATCATCAACACTCAGGATGTGGCTTAGTGGTCATGGTAATCTCCACATCCACATGTTTTTTGAATCCATCCTTTAAATCTTACTCTTTAAGTAGAGTGGACATCTCTTTGGCAGCATGCACTGCTGAACACAGCAGGCTGTGACTTAAACATAACAGACACTGTTGAGGTAAAAAAAAAGCTGTGTTTTTTTTAATTTGGAGGGTTGTTGGAAGGCCAAGAGTGAATATTTTTAAGCACAAATATGAGCAGCAGAATAAATGGAACGTAGCCCCAGGGCTCTGCTGATATTTCTGTCAGTGCAGGCAGAGAAGAATTGCTTTTGGGGAGGCTTCAGCAAAAAGAATTGTCACCAACTTCTGCAAAATCTCTTTCAGATATTGATCCCACCGAAAGGCTTGCTCCTGAAACTCAAGAAAGAGGCTGAAAATCCCAAGGAGGTCCTAGATCAGGTATCCCCATAATAAAGCTGAAAATTGTTGAATGTGTTGAACGTTTTCTTTGCATGTTTTGACTTACTAGCAGCAAGTACAACTGTACAGAGAGTAGAATGTGTCCCCCTGCAGAATACCCAGGCCTGCCTTTGATCCATGCTTGGTGTTCTCTTGGGTACTTTACTTGGGCCAGCCTGGAGGCGCAGAGCTGCACGACAGCACTTCCAAACCTTTGTAAAGTAGAGTGTTCCCCCTCAGGCAGCTTCACTGGGACACCTTGGGCATGTCTTGTCCTTCCAAGCTGCTCTTGATTACCATGACTTCTGCATTAGTCCCAAAAGCTGCTTTTGTTCTGGAAAGGTGATGTGACAGGGCTCGTAAAGAGTCTGCCTCGTTTGCTGGCTGTGAATCTTCACTGATAGCCAAGTCCTGTTGTACCTGGACAGCTTGGTCTTAGTTCAGGGAGCCACTCGTAGAATTGTTTAGGTTGCCATGCACCTTCCAGACTGAGTCCAACCATTCCCCCAGCACTGCCAGGTCCCCACTGCCCCGTGTCCCTCACACCACATCTCCACGGCTTGGAAACCCCTCCAGGGATGGGGACTCCACCACTGCCCTGGGCAGCCTGGCACAGCCCTGGGCAACCCTCCAGGGCAAGCAATTGTTCCTCAGGGACAACCTCAACCTCCCCTGGGGCAGCTTGAGGCCCTTTCCTCTGCTCCTATTCACTTGTTCCTTGGGAGCAGAGCCCGACCCCCACCTGGCTCCAGGCTCCTGTCAGGCGCTGTGCAGAGCCAGAAGGTCTCCCCTGAGCCTCCTTTGCTCCAGGCTCAGCACCCCCAGCTCCCTCAGCTGCTCCTCCCCACACTTGGCCTCCAGACCCTTCCCCAGCTTCATTGCCCTTCTCTGGCCACACTCCAGCCCCTCAATGTCCTGCTGGGAGTGAGGGGCTCAAAACTGACCCCAGGGTAGCAGAGGTGATGTCCCAAACACTGAGTCCAGGGGGATGATCTCTGCCCTTGGCTTTAGAAAGCCATGCTAGTGTGGTACATCACCCCACAGGCCAAGCTGTAGCCTTTGAGTTAAATACAGATGTTTCTGGGCGGTGCCAGGACTCTGGAGCGGTGCTTGTGCAGCGGCCCCAAAGGGGTTGGGAATGACAACTTGTGGTTGCTGTGGGGATGAGTGTGGAGTGTTTCTTGCCTGACATTTGGTGTGTGCTTCACCTCTGCCTATGCAGGTGTACTACAGGGTGGAGTGGGCCAAGTTCCAGGAGCGGGAGAGGAAGAAGGAGGAGGAGGAGAAGGAAAAGGAGCGCGTTGCTTACGCCCAGATTGATTGGCATGACTTCGTCGTGGTGGAAACAGTTGACTTCCAGCCCAATGAGCAAGGTACTGAAGTTAAGCATTATAACCTCTGTGGAAGTGCTCCCTTTGAGTAGGGGCTGTGTCCTGAAATGCCTTTCTTAGGCAGGCATAGGGTTTTACAGCTTGCATATCCTCCAAAGATAAAAGAGAAAGCCTTCTAGGGACAGTGTGCAGGGCTGGTTTTCCTCTGGAGTCAGTGATGTTCTCCTTGCACAAGTCCAGGACTGCACTAGTGGCTTGATTTTTCCACTTCCACCAGGACAGCAGAACTTGTCCCACTTTCCAGCAGTGCTTTCATCTCCAAGAACCTTCATCTTTGTATGTCATGCTGCTGTTGGTCTGTGCAGGTCCCATCCATTCCCTTCTTGGTTCCCAGGAGATTTTGGTGGCATTGCTTTTCATTCAAGAAACTGATATTTCTGCCTCTGCATTGGGCAAGGACATGTCCCAGAGAAACAGAAGCTCTTGTTTTGTGTATTGTAGGGAATTTCCCCCCTCCCACCACTCCAGAAGAGCTGGGAGCTCGAATCCTGATCCAGGAGCGTTACGAGAAGTTTGGGGAAAGCGAGGAGGTGGAGATGGAGGTGGAGTCAGATGAGGAAGATGAAAACAAAGAGAAAACAGATGAGGCCCCGGCCCAGCTTGATCAAGACACACAAGTGCAGGATATGGATGAGGTAAGTGGCCAATGGAATCAGCATGACTTCTGTCCCACAAAGTTTATGTGGTTTAGGGTGCCCTCAATTCTGCCAGAAGTTCCTCAGTTTCTTGAGGAAATGAGATCTCCTTCTGGTGGAATTTGAAAACAACCTGATTTGGCTGGAATATGCTTTTTTTAAAATATTTTTCATGACAATACGATTTCCAAGAGAGAAACCCAGTAGCTTTGTCACCTAGGGATGTGGATTTTGTTTCTGAGCTCAAGCCTTTTGAGCTTTGGTTCTGCACAGGGTCTGTAGCTTGGAGAGATGACTCATTTTAGACTCTTCCTCTGCCCACTGTATGTAAGCTGTTTTTCTGGTAACAAGGAACAAGAGCGTGGTTAACCATAAGCCCCTGCTTGCTGTGGTGATGTGGAAGCTGAGGAGCACTTGCTTCCTCTTCTGGGGCCACTGAATTTCTGAGTTGTGATTATCCAGAGGAACCACTCCAGCATAGGTGTCCAGAGGCAAAAAAAATCTGGTGCTTCGAAGCAGCAGCAGAATCAGTTCTTTAGGATTAATATGCCTTGCTCAAATCTTGTTTATTGATCCTTGACCACAGGAACTTGGTTAATTTATTTTTATTTTCTCAAAAGGGCTCAGATGATGAAGATGAAGGGCAGAAGATTCCTCCTCCTCCCGAAACTCCGATGCCACCACCTCTTCCTCCCACACCAGATCAGGTCATTGTGCGGAAGGATTATGATCCCAAAGGTAAACCAGGCTGTGGAAGAAAAGCTTTAATTCCACCTGAATAATCCCCAAACCCATTTATTCCTAGGCTGCGTGCCCTGCTGTGTTTTTTAACAGTGTGGTTTTGCTTTTCTAGCCTCAAAACCATTACCACCCGCCCCAGCTCCAGATGAGTATCTCGTTTCCCCCATCACTGGAGAGAAAATTCCTGCCAGTAAAATGCAGGAACACATGAGGATTGGGCTCCTGGATCCTCGCTGGCTGGAGCAGCGCGACCGATCCATCCGTGAGAAGCAGAGCGACGATGAGGTCTATGCCCCAGGTCAGCAACATGAGTTCCTCCCTGAGTTCTGTCACCTCCTAGCCCACCCCCTCGCTCCCCCTCAGGTCCCACCATTGAAGTTTTTCTGTAAACTTCAAGGCAGAGGGCAGTAGCTGCTGCTGAGCTGCCATCAGTCACAGCCTTAAGCAGAGCAGTGCTCGGCCAGATCATTAACAGAGGCTTGATTGCGTTGGATTGTTTAGTTTGAGTTAAGAATTTCTCTTTTTGCCTGCAGGTTTGGACATTGAGAGCAGCCTGAAGCAGCTGGCAGAGCGCCGTACCGATATCTTTGGTGTAGAAGAAACTGCCATTGGTAAAAAAATTGGTGAAGAAGAAATCCAGAAACCAGAGGAAAAGGTAGAATGGAAACTGTGGGATTTTCAGCAGGTTCTTGTGGTATTATGAATGCTCAGAGAGACAGGAGTCTTTTGAACTTTGTTCTTGCTGTACAGCCAAGCTGTCAATTCAGTTGCAGCTCACGTTGTGCTCTGGGTGGGCTGGAGTGATTCTGACTGATTTATTTTCTCCTCTCAGGTGACCTGGGACGGCCACTCGGGCAGCATGGCCCGCACACAGCAGGCTGCTCAGGCCAATATCACTCTCCAAGAGCAAATCGAAGCCATCCACAAGGCCAAGGGCCTGGTGCCAGAGGATGACAGCAAGGAGAAGATCGGGCCCAGCAAACCCAATGAGATCCCACAGCCACCCCCTCCTTCTTCAGCATCAAACCCCCCGGCCAGCGCCCCGCCCATCACCTCCGTGCCCCGTCCACCCGCGGTGAGCCTTCAGGCTTCCAAAAACAAACCACCAAAATAACAAAAAGTTAATGAGCAGGGAGTCCTGAGGAAGGTCAAGGGTTATAACAGCAGGGTGCTGGCTGCAGGGAGATTTGGAGTGAAGTTCGTGTTTCCAAATGAGTGTGAAACCAGCAGAAAATCCCTGCTTAACTACCATTAGAAATTGAAGATGAGGCTTAGGTGGAGCTTTTCACCCAAAATTACTTGATCACTGGGCAGAGGAAGAACCAGGGTGGTGAGATGGTGGAGGAAGGTGTATAGCTAGCAAAGGAAGGGCTGGGGAACTCTTTTTAGGTGTAATAAAGACAGATGTGATGTTTTTTCCTGTGATGCAGAGCAAAAGTAGCTGCAGGTAAGAAAGGTTTGTGGGTGACTCACTGCCCAGTGTCCCTGCCCCAGGGGTTCTGCTGCATGACGCTGCAGTTGCTCCTTTCAGATTGCTGCCTGGCTGGGTCTGATACAGGGTGGGGAGGGGAGGAAGAGCTGTTTAATCTGTTAACGAGGCTTCTCTGCCCCTTTACAGCAGCGTGGGCTGGCCAGGCCACAGCTCGCAAGTTCCCAGAAGATCTTCGGCCAGCAGAACTCTTGTGTTGCCCTGGTGGTTTTAATCAGGACTGGGAACGGCACTGAGCATATCTGCTAAAAAAATATCCCCCTGTCTCTCTCCAGATGCCCCCTCCTGTCCGTGCTGCTGTGGTTTCTGCTGTGCCAGTCATGCCTCGTCCCCCGATGACTTCTGTGGTCCGTTTGCCTCCGGGGTCTGTCATAGCCACCCCCATGCCCCCCATCATCCACACCCCGCGCATCAACGTGGTCCCCATGCCACCCTCTGCTCCTCCCATCATGAGCCCGCGCCCGCCGCCCATGATAGTGCCCACAGGTCAGCAGCCTCACCCTGCTCTGCTGCAGCAGCAGCTCGTTCCTGGGGTCTTCTTTCCTCCTGTGCCTCTGCTGAGGGTGTGTGGTTGGGATGGGACCTCAAGTCTCATGGTTAAAAGAGTTTTTGGGGCTGAGGAGCTTCTCCTCCCGCAGCGTGAAGTGCAGAGGGTTCTCTCTCACCCTCCTGGTGTCCGTGTCCCCAGGAGCCTGTCTGGGTGGAGATGCAGAATGCACGCTGGCTTCCAAAGGAGCTGGATGTGGAGGAGCTGCCAGCACCCTGCTGGGTGTTAGACCTTCTTACACAACTTGCTGCTGCGGGAGGAGAAGCTGTTGTTTGGCTTCTTTCCTCATAGCAGCTTCATGGCATCGGATGCTTTTCAGTTAAAAAGCACAATGTAAAAAACAAATTCTTCCTTTTTTTTTTTTTTTTTTTTTTTAATCAAAGTCCTGGCACTGCCACATGCCAAACTGAGCGTTTGCTTTTCTGCACCATCTGCAGGAAGCTCTCGTGCCACTTGACTTTTCCTGGCCCGTTTCCCAATATGAAAGATCTCCTGCTGCTGGTTGTTTTAACTTCCTCCACGCGTCCTGCCGTTTGTTTGGGGCCTTTACTGCTCTGCTAAAAGAGTTTTTGTGTAAGGGAACATCTGCTGTGCCCTCCGTGGCTGACTGGGGGTTGTGTTGTGTGTCCCTGTCCCCTTCCAGCCTTTGTTCCTGCACCTCCAGTGGCCCCAGTTCCCTCCCCAGCACCGATGCCTCCTGTTCACCCCCCGCCACCGATGGAGGATGAGCCAGTCTCAAAGAAGCTGAAGAGTGAAGACAGCCTGATCCCAGAGGAGGAGTTTCTGCGCAGGAACAAGGTATGAGTGAAGTGCCAGAGCCCAGAGGGGCTGGGAGTCCAGCTCAGTGCACAGAGGAGAGCTGCCATCCCTTGGCAAGGGAGCGAGGCTGTGAGGTGGCTCCTGCTCTGCTGAGCAGAGCAGAATTCCTGAACAGAATTCCTGAACAGAATTCCAGAATTCCTGGGTTTGGATTTTACTGGAAGGAGTGGTGCAGCGCTGCCTGCAGACATGTAGTGAGATAATTGCTGTAATTAAGGGCAGCAAGAGGTAGGTTCATAGTAATGGAAAGAAGAATTAAAGCTGCTAATAAGCTTTTAAGCAGAGGGCTGCTAAGCTGGCGAGGCAAGGAGATCTGCTATATCAGTGTCAGTGTGGTAATGTGGGATTGTGGTGTCCACACGGACTAAATGTTGGGCCGGACTCCTTCCTGTGGAGTGCTGGCAGTGTGGGTGGAGTCAAAGGTCCTTTTTGGAGGCTCTGTGGTTTTCCTGGACATCTGCACAGAGGACCTGTTCAGTGCTTCCCCCGTTCACTCCAGCGCTGGGGAGGTGTCTGATGTGTGGTGAGCAGCAGGCAAAAGGAGGGACTGAGGAGGGAGATCCAGCTCAGAAAAGGAGGGCCTGAGGAGGGAAATCCAGCTCAGAAAAGGAGGGACTGTGTTTTGGTGGCAGTGAAGTAATGTTCTCAGTGCTGAGGCGAATCCATTTCTGAGTGTTTACTGAGCAGTCGAGATACGTGGCTGGCTTAGAAAATAAATAATTAGTCTGCTGCTCTTTTATCACAGTCCTGAGCCTCCTTGCCTGTGAGAGACCTTATCTTTGTTCCCTCCAGGGTCCGGTCACGGTCAAAGTCCAAGTTCCCAACATGCAGGACAAGACAGAGTGGAAGCTGAATGGCCAAGTGCTGGTGTTCACCCTGCCTCTCTCAGACCAGGCACGTGGTTTATTCACCTGGCCCCTACCCCTCCGGGTCCTGCCACCCTGCTGCTGCTCTGGGAGGAGAGCAGTGGGCTGTGGTGGGAGCTATAAACCTCTGGCTGTTCCCCACAGCCTCTGCCTGGGGGGGCCGTGGGGCAGGGGGAGCAGCACAGAGTGGGACAAAAGCCTGAGCGAGCTCTTTGCTTCTCCCAGGTGTCTGTCATAAAGGTGAAGATCCACGAGGCCACAGGGATGCCTGCTGGGAAGCAGAAGCTGCAGTATGAGGTGGGTCTAAGCCCTTCCAATGCTGTTTGTTCCTTCAGTGCTTTCTCACATGCAAACATTCCCAGAAAAACTTGTAACCCACCCACTGAGATGTGGGGAGGAGCAGAGGGAATGGTTTTCCTGGCTGTACAGCACACGTGGCTCCAGAACTGCCCTCTCTTACAGCAGGACAGGCCTTTCACAGATAGCTTCAGTGAGTCTTCACATTGTCACTGCTGCAGATGAGTCCTCTGAGCTCGATGGCTTTCTCTGAAATCAGCCTGTTAGTTCACTGGGGATTTTGACATAGAAATGCAGCAGCCTGCTCCAGTGGCTGTGCTCTGCTAGGTGGGCAAAGAGCACCTTGGAAGCCTGGCAGCTCTGACAAGACCTGCTCCCAAACATGAAAGGGCAGAAATCAATCTGTGTCTCTCTTCCTCTCAGCACTGGAGCTTTAGAAAGGCACCTTTTTGTTTTTTTTTTTTTAAGAGCTCGTGTCCACACATGCACAGGCACAACCTGCTGCCTAAGCAGTGAACTTTGTGCACTTACCTCCTTGGGAGTTCATCTGTGGGCAGATCCTGCATCAACCCTTAGCAGAAAGGGAGTTAAACAGGGGGATTATTTAGGGAAAAAAAAGAGCACAGAGGAGGAAGTGGAGCGTAAATAACTTTCCTCATTGTGGTGACAGTCTGTAAATGCTAGATACCTCTACAAACATACAGTCAGTCTCTCCATACTCCTGCATCATTCCCAGCACACCCACCTTCACCAGTGCCCATCTTCTGAGCCACACTGGGCTCCCCCCAGGCTGTTTCAAAGTGGTTCTGTCAGCACTCTTGTGAGGGCATGGCCAGAAGAGTTTGATCTGAACATGAGCCAGCATGTGCCC